GAGAGAGAGAGAGAGAGAAATATATGAAAAGTCCAGGCCTCCGTGTTTGTCCGCCACACTAGCTTACCTGGCCCCAGGTTAAAACTCCTCTACACAACAAGGTTTAAATGGAACAGAAGCACCGAAAAGCGCTTCTTCGTGTCCTCCTAGGAGCAAGCCTTCGGTGGCTGGGAGGGGTCCCTGAGGGGGACACCTGGCTATGTGCGGGCCTATTGAAGGTTGGTGGTTCAAACCCTACAGAGCAGTTGGTTCTGGCTCTGGCCGGCCACCATGCGTATAGTCACAGGGAACAGACCCTGTGACAGCTGTTGTTTGCCTGTTTGGCGCAGATGTGCCCTGCTGGCTAGTTCCCTGACCACTCACCTCACTCTTGCCTCACGCTGCCCCCCAGTTCTTTTCCCTCCTAGAAATCTGTCCCGGTGAGGCCTTGGAGTGAACGCAGAGGACCCTGACCGCCTTGTCTGCGGCCCCAGCGCTGTGCGGGCTGGGCGGAGCTGAGAGAGCGGAGCGTCCCGAGGGGCTTTCTTAGAGAGGGGCAAGGCACGGCTGGCACCGGCTTACTTTATCGCAGGGTGTGGGAGCCGCTGCGGGTGCCCACCACGTACCCACACTTCCTCCTTCCCCAGCTGCTCCCCCGTTTCACATCCCAGGGAACTGTGGCTGGCTCTCATCTGCCTGCAGTAGACACCCACTTGGCCTCTGGGTGAGTGCTCGCTCCTGGAGCCCGACGGCTCCCAGTGGCTCTTTCATTGGTCTGTTTTTCACTTTGCTCCCGGTGGCCAGCTGCCCAGGCCCTGGGGACATAGCAGACACTCCGGGGCTCTGAAGGTGCCCAACTGGATTCCACCAGTCCCCTGCCTCTAAGAACTCCCATGCCCAGAGCAGTCGGAAGTTCCAAGCCTCCCTTTGAGACTCTCCGCTCCCCGCGCCCCTCGGCACCTCTGGACCTCATAGCCATCTGGGCTGTTTCTGCTTGCCTCTCTTCCAGTGAAAGATGACCAGGAAGCTGTGCTTTGTTTCTACAAAACTGCACAGGACTGCCTCATGATGTTCACCTATGGGGAGCTCCCCAATGGGAAGACCAACCTGACGGTCCTCAGGGAGGCAGGTGGGTGAGGGCTGGGTGGCCCTGCTGTGTGCTCGCCACTCAGACTCTGGTTTCTGACACCTTCCCCGGCTCAGGGGCTCCCCGGCTGCCCTTTACCAAATAGGAGGGAGGAGGATGTACAATTCCCCATGACAGTTAGCACCCAGGGTCTCCTGGCTCCTTGGGTGGAAAAGAAGAGAGGTGCTGATACAGTGGGGGTCACTGCTGGGGTCGAGCTCCGGGAGGCAGGGGTGGTTGGGGGGTGGGCAGGAGGGAGAGTCGCAGGTTTGGGGGGAACCAGAGCCCGCGTGGCCACGCAGAGAGGTGCTGCTGTGTCCCTGCGGAGCGCAGTGTGCTGAGCGGGCTGGGGAAGTGTCCCTTGAGTTGGGGAGGTGCAGGGCATGACTCCGTGGGCAGCGGCTGCTGCCCAGGCTGGATTCTCAGGACAGATGGCGGGTGGGGGTGGGGGGCACATTCCTGCCTGCTGCTGCACTCAGCCCCCCAGGCCGAGGAGGCCGAGCCGTCCCCAGACACGGAAGGCTCCCTTCCTGCTTTGGGCCCAGGAGCCCCATGGTCGGGAGACAGGGCTTTCTAGCACCGACCCTTTTATTCTTCCGGCAGGGCGTGGTGGGGGTGGGGGTGGGGGTGGGGGTGTAGGGAGAGGGGGCTAGGCAAACAAAGCTCTCCTCCGTTCACAGCCAGCCTCGCAAACTTGCTTTTCCAAGTTGGGTCAAGCCTCCTTGCACGCAGAACAGGGCTGCCATGGTGCAGGCCCAGGAGGGGCCCCTGACCGCAGCACGCCGGCCGTGTCAGGCCCCCCACCGGAAACCCAAACCACACTTGATTCTGACTCCATGACCGTGTGGGACAGAGAGCTGCCCTCTTTCTCCCAGGGAGGGCGTGGGGGTGGGGTGGGGGGGACACCACTGTTGGTTAGCAGTCACGCTGCTTAACCTGTGCGCCACCAGGGTTCCTGGGCTCCACGGTGGGTGTGGCTTCGTGGAACCTCTTGCAGAAGCTGTCCGTGATGGGCTCTCACATGACAGTGGAGACATTGGCCAGCACCCCCTTCCCCCTACGCGCCCCCCCTCCCCCCTTGCGGGTGGGCTGGGGCTTGGACACAGACACTGGGTGCCGGAGGAGGTGCAGTGTGGTGGGCAGGATGGCCCTAGACTGGCTGTGGGGCCTGGGAGTAGTCACCATCCCTCTCTGACCTTACTACCTGAGACCGGGAGGCATGTCTGCTCTCCCAAGTCTCCCCAGGCAATACGAAGACCTTGAGCGATGACAGAGGGAGGGAGAGGGGAGGAGGCAGCCCAGTATTCTCGCTGGTGCTAGTGGGTTGTGCTGCAGGAGGTCATCCGCTCAAACCCACCAGCTGCCCTGTGGGTGGAAGATGAGGCGGTGTGCTTCCGTAAACATGTCTCACCTTGGAAACAGTGCAGGCCATCTCTGTCGGGTAGACTTGCTGCGAGTGGGAACGGCGGTCGGGTGTGAGGGGTTCTGGGGGAGCACGTTGGGTGCGGATGGCTTGGCTCACCATGCCTCCCTCTTCGCTCCAGAGTGTGGGGCCGCCCCCAACGCCATGACCATCCTGCTGGCCGTGGTGGGCAGCATCCTCCTGGTGGGCATCGCGCTCCTGGCCATCTGGAAGCTGCTTGTCACCATCCACGACCGGAGAGAGTTTGCCAAGTTCCAGAGCGAGCGATCCAGGGCCCGCTACGAGATGGTAAGCCCGTGGGAAGTCGGCCGTGGTGCAGGGCGGCCAGGCCCAGGGCTGGAGCTGGGTCCCGGCAGGCAGGCAGGCAGGGGAGCGAGCAAGGCTGCCTGTGGCTCTAACAGCAAAGACAGCAAACCTCAGCGGCTGTGCTCAGCTCTGCACAGAGAGAGCACGTGCCCTGGGACCATAGAGCCCTGCACCAGGCCCCGGGTCAGAGACCCAAGTGGGCACAGGCAGTGGGCACAGCCTTCAGGCTGGAAAACTTTGGCCCATCGTGGTCAGATGCCACAGCCGCTGGGCATGCCCTCAGTCTCTGAAAGTCTGTGGTTCTGTGTGTTTAGTCTTACCTCCCCAGGTAACCCGCAAGCTCCAGTGCTCCCCAAATCGGGCGTTACTGACCCCTGGGGATGCTGGGATGATCCCTCGGGGCTGCAGAAGCAGATGCCTACACTTTATCCTGGACAATGGGCTGTAGTGCAGCCATTTTTCATTACCAGGGGAGCAATGAGTCATTTTTTTTTCTGAAAAGGGAGCAGGAGGCCAATTAAGTTTGGGAATCTGTGTTCCAGAAGGCCGGAGCACATAGTGAGACCCACTGAGTTCCTATTCAAGTTGGAAGGGGCTTTTGAGGTGAGGGGACACTCAGAGAAGGGCAGGGCTTGCCCAGTGCCCGGTGCCCAGCAGAGGCAGAGCCAGGCCTGAGGCTGACCCAAGCAGGGCCCCGTGAGTGCTCTGGCCCAGGAAGGGCCCCCAAGCCGAGCCTGCTCGAATGGATGAACTAACCGGCCCTCTTATGTCCCCTGTCCTGTAGGCTTCAAACCCTCTGTATAGAAAGCCCATCTCCACACACACCGTGGACTTCACCTTCAACAAGTTCAACAAGTCCTACAATGGCACCGTGGATTGATGGCGGATAGAAGTCTGCTCCTTGGAGCGATGGAGGGGCGTGAACTGAAAGCCGGAGGCTAGGACCTCAGGCAGCTGCTCCCCTTGACCCCGGCCCCTCAAGAGGAGAGCGGGGAGAACCCTGCAGGGAGCTGGGCCAGAAAGAAGCCTGCCCAGGAGCACCACCCCTGCTGTCCCCCCGCCACACCATCCAGGCACCCCTCAAGGACCTGGTGCTGGGCTTTTCTGCCTCACCCTACTGGGGTCCCATGAACTGCTGAGTCGCCCCTGGGCAAGTGACTGCGTGGGCCCCCAGCCCCCAGCCTGTCTTTCCCAGGGGCCATTTTAACAGATGCCATAAAGGGCTCCTGCGTGTATGGTGCCCCTGCGCGGATGATTGCTGGTGGGCATGGGGCCATTGCTCCACCCCGCTGTCCTGCCCTCTCGGGGTGGGGATGGGGGTGGTGTGCAATCCGTGAGACTGTGGCAGGCACATGGTTTGCAAGTGCCAGCTCCCCCCTCCGGGTCCCCGTCTTTTGTGTACTTTTGTAATGAAAGGGGAAGCGGTTGTTTGGGATCGAAAGTCAAGATTAAAACCAAATGTCCTTGGTTCTGCCTGCCATTTTCCTCCGGGTGATGATGATGATGATGATGATGATGTGTTGTGTGTTTCTGAGTGGTCTTGGATGACAGCCCTCAGGGCACCCAGCACAAGCCAGTCCAATAAGCCACCCCAGGGATCTACGTGAACATAGGTTCCACGAGGCTCTGGGGGACAGAGCCGGGTAGCTCCAGGACCCTCCTGGCTTTCATTTGAAACATTTCTGGGCTTCTGAAGACAACACCCCTGCTCTCTACCCGCCTATGAGATGATAAGAGCTTACAGAGATGTGTAGCAGAGGGCAGCTGGAGTGTACATTGTGACCGATGGCACTTCTCCCTCCACGGCCTGCCTACGGCACAACCCCATTCCAACTCCCCTGCCCCTTCGGGCCCCGGGTCTCCGTGTCAGGGCTGATCAGGTCTGCCCCAGCGCTCAGCGATGTGCGAGAAGCAGGACGCACCGCCTGGTCCTGCCGCTTCCCCACAGCTGTTCCGTGGAGCCCACCAGCACCGCCACTGGGCCAGCCATCTCCCTGGGGATCTTCCTCTCCTTCCCGGACCTTCTACCAAGTCTGATGTCCTGTTCCAGGTCCCTCCTCGAGAGAAAGACGGGGCTTTCTACTCCCATGGAGGGACCGTCTCAGAAACCCACGGGGTGGGGGGTGGGGGTGGGGGTCTGCCCTGTCCTGTAGGGTCTCTGTCCATTTGAATTGACTCACTGGCAGTGAGTTTGAGTTTTCTGAGTCACCCTTAATAACACGTCCAAAGGACAAGAAACCAAGTCTCTCCATCCTTGCTTCTGAGCAGCATTCCGACCGTGTTTCCTCCCAGAAAGATACGTTTGCTTTTGTGGTCCTTTGTGGTCCTTTGAATATTCTCCAACAACGTAATTCAAATGCATCGGCTCTTTTGTGGTCTTCCTCCCACTGAAAAGATCATGACAACTGAAAATACCACAGCTTATTCTTCAAAGTGTGACCCCTTTGCTCTTTAACACTGTATTCTAGTCAATAGTTTAATTGACACCAGGGTTCACATGTCATACACTTCCATGGTCCAGCCGTAATAGAGAGATGTGCGATCATCACCACAATCCCCCTCTTGTCTTCAGTATTAGCTCCCCATGCCCCTCTAACCTACGCCCCGCCCCAACCCAGTTACCGTCTCTATAGCTACACCCACCCCAGGCTTCATACACGGGAAAACAATAAAAAGAAAGAAAGAAAAGGCCAAAACCAATTACAAATTAAGCCAGAGAAGAAACCCCAGTTGAGAAAAAAAAAAAAAAAAAGCAGGAAGTATTACAAACTAGAACAAATTAAAAATGGCTCAAAAGGGAAATCAAATCATCAGGTATCACATTTTAATCTGCCATAATAAAGTTTATGATACTCTCTGATAGCAATTCCCATCCCTCGAGGCTTAAACTATATAAACCCCTAAAATCCAAACTCGCTGCTATGAGTCTCTTGTGGCTCATAGTGACCCTATAGGGTAGAACTGCCCCTGTGGGTTTCCCAGACTGTAAAGCTTTACAGGAGTAGAAAGCCTCATCTTTCTCTGGTAGTGACTGGTGAGTTCGAACTGTTGACCTTGCAATTAGCAGACAGACACCTAGCACACTGTGCTACTGGGTCTCCTTTAATCCAGTGGTTCTCAACCTTCCAAATGCTGCGACCCTCATATTGTGGGTGACCTCAGCCATGAAATTAATTTCATTGCTACTTCATAACTGTCATTTTGCTACTGTTATGAACTGGGCGACCCCTGTGAAAGGGTCCCTTGACCCCCAAAGGGGTCACAGTTGGGAACTGCTGTTTTAATCCATGTAGAGATCCTGCAAGTGAATTTTGGTTCCCAATGTCATCCATTTCCTTCTGCAAATAGGTGCTCACAATTTAAGCCCAGATACCATTCCCTCCTTCAGATATGGATTTTATTATTTATCATCCTTGGATCACACCGGCTGGTGTTCCTCTTCCATGTGGACTTGGTTGACACCTCACTTAGATAACTGCTTGTTTGAAGAGAAAGCTTTATACTCTTTGGTATCCGGAAGAAATCTTACACAGCCCATTTGTCCAATGCAATATTTCATTTGATTTTTTAACAGTTTCCTTGCATATGATTCACATATCATACAATTCAATAGTTCGGTCGCATCAAGAAGAGTTGTACAATCATGACCACAATCAGATTTAGAACATTTTCTCCACTTGTGTGGTCATTGTTATATATCGTTTGGTTTCTTGACTCCTGCTTCCATGAGCATGGACTATAGAGCCAAGTGTGATGAGCTCCCTGTCAACTTCACTCCTGCCTCTGTCTTTCATGATGATGTCTACTGATCCGGATGTGAGGATCTGTGCTTCCTTCTTTACGGAGTTGTAATCCACAGCAAAGGCTGCAGTCTTGGGTTTTTGTCGAGTGCTTCAAATCCTCTTCACTTTCAGCAAACAAGGTTGTGTCACTGTATAAAAGGCTGTTGAATCTTCCTCCAAGCCTGGTACCACATTCTTCATTTAGTCCAGCTTCTAGGGTGATTTGCTCAGCCTACAGATTGGATAAGTGTGGTAAAAGGCTCCTTGGGTTTCCATATCTGAGACGGACCCCCAGAGGTCAGATCCAAGACCCTTATTCATAGCAGGGGAAACTGAGTCACAGAGAGGGGCAGTGCCCTGCCCAAGGGTCAGGAGGCTAACTCGTGACAAATGTGTACCAAGACTTGAGTCACACAATCGCTGGCCATGCCAAAGCGCTATCCCCTTAGTACCTGTTCATCAGCATCACTTCAGAACTATTGGGATTTCATTCCAAATATGGCTCCTCTCGGGCTCACACTTAATTAATTCCCCTTACATCATTTTGGCAAACACAAACAATAACAACAACAACAACAAAACCTCCTTGCTGTTGAGTCAGCTGTGACTCAGCTCTGCAGACAGTAGAACTGCCCTCTGGGGTTTCTAAGGCTGTAAATCTTGAGAGGAGCAGAAAGCCTCTTCTCTCTCCTGAGCAGCAGCTGGCAGTTTCGAACTGCAGACCTTGTGCTTAGCAGCCCAACCTGTAGCCACTACGCCACCAGCATTCCAATTGGACCAACACCGAAGGCAAATGTCTATCAGTGCTTAGGGTCTGTTTCCTACAGGAATAAATAACTGATTCTGAGTCTCTGCTGTCCTGTGTAAACAGAATAGATCGTGTGACCTTGCGAAAGAAACTCCCTTAACATCATTTGGAGCAGTGGTTCCCAATCTTCCTAATATCACGACCCTTTCATACAGTTCCTCATGTTGTGGTGACCCCCCCCACCACCATACAATTATTTTCGTTGCTACTTCATCACTGTCATTTTGCTCCTGTTATGAATCGGATGACATCTGTGAAAGGTTGTTTGACCCCCAGGTTGAGAACCGGTGAGGAAAGCCACGTTGTAAATAAGTCGGTAGCGTAGATGGATAAAACAATACCTTGAAGACATTCTCAAGTGAGACGTGGTCGAGGATTTCACTGTTGTTTGGCTCCAGAGCCAGCACCCACGGGTGCGGCAGTCCAGGCATCAAATGCCTTGCTCGGGCAGATCTAATGCACTCTTTAAAGTGTTCCCAGGCAAAGGTGCCCCTTGAGGATTAAGGTGCCTTTGACCCAAGTCGTGGCCGTTTCGACGGCCTCATCTGCATGCAGAAGCTGTAGCATGAATGAGGGAGACCAGGAGACTGGACGCTCGTGACGCGTGTGAAATATATGCCGGAGAAGGTCATGGTGCTTGCCAAAGGAGAAAGACTCTCAGGGATGGATTACCCTGTGGCTGCGACCAGGGACTCAAACACAATGGCTGCTGCGAGGATGGCTCCGGACGGGGCAGTAGTTCCGGTGGCTGGGGACAGACTGACTTCAGGACTCCCAGCAACAAATTCAGGAAGGATATGATCTGGGGAGAGACTGGGGGTTTGCTTCCTGGGAACAAACCATTCACTTGCTCACCGAGGACTCTGGTCCTCACTCTGGATCCCGGGTTGGTGGGGCCTACCGGCCGCCCGCAGGGCTCGGCTGCCCCCTGCTGGACGTGGTTGGACACGCTGTTGGGAGGCCGGGCTCACTCCTTCCCGGAGAGTTCCTCTTGTCAAGGTTATCTGTGAGCTGTTGGCACCGGGGGTTCAGCGCCCCAGCACCGGGGAAGAAAGGTACACTCCTGTGATGTGTCCAGCCACAGACGCTGTGCGCTCTCTGATGGGGGGGTCATTATGTGTGGAAATCAACTCCGTGACAAGCAGCAAACTCCAACCCCCAGATGGCCAGTTTATCATTTTAAAATCATGTTTCTTCTGAAATGGGCCTTTGAACACTTCTCTCCCGAGCAGCTATTGGGCTGTCGCCCCCTTCCTCATCCTCTCCCCCCTTCACAGGCCCACCCTTGACATAGGTCCCTCGGCTGGGGGAGCTGACATAACTGCCTACTTGTGACGAAACAAACCCCAAAGTCACCAAGGCCAAGTCCATGGACTTAGTTGACTGACACCTCACTTCGATGACTGCTTGTTTGAAAACGCCTGTAAGATTCCACACTGCTTTTTTCAGATAGAATGACGTCATCTGGTTTCTTCACCACACTTTGATATAGCACCCATATATACCTTCAGTGATCTCTTCAGGAGGGCGAACATCATGCAGGACCATGTCACAGTTGCTCTTAGATTGGGGCTGGAGTTAAGTCAAGCTCAAAATCATCTATACATCTATGATTTATTTATGCCCCGCTTCCCTTTAGCACCATGATTATCATTTTATGTTAGAGAATATTATAATCATCCCCCAGGGGCATAAGGTAATTCTATTGACAGTGTCATTAATTTACCCAATGGTACAGCATTTAAAATACTGCTGAGGGTCTGTCTAAATAAGATAGGCTTGATGAACAATCTGGAGGAGAAAACAATGGGATGACAGTTCCGGGGGGACATGGGAGAGGGGGAGGTGGTGGAGAAGGAAGTGGTTTTAACAAACCC